GACCACAAATTCCCCTCCAGAGTGGTCGAAAATGCCCTTGACCGTGTCTCCCGCATTTCCCGCAACTCATCCCTCACACCCCCTCCCCGCAATAACAACCAAAACAGAATCTCCCTCGTCCTCATGTACCACCCCACCAACGCATCATCCTCCGACATTTCCGCCATCTGCAATCTGACCCCACCACCAAAGACATTTTTCTCTCCCCACCCTTATCTGCTTTCCAGAGGGACCACTCTCTCCGTGACTCCCTTGTCCGCTCCACACTCCCCTCCAGCCCCACCACCCCGGCACTTTTCCCTGCAGCCGAAGCAAGTGCTACACCTGCCCCTACACCTCCCCCCTCACCTCCATCCCAGGCCTAAGAAGACCTTCCACATCAAACAGATGTTCACCTGCACATCTGCTAATGTGGTATACTGTATCCGCTGTTCCCTTTGTGGTATCCTCTACATCGGGGAAGCCAAGCGGAGGCTTGGGGACCGCTTTGCGGAACACCTATGCTCAGTTCGCAACAAACAACTACACCTCCCAGTCGCGAACCATTTCAACTCCCCCTCCCACTCCTTGGACGACATGTCCATCCTGGGCCTCCTGCATTGCCACAATGACGCCACCCGAAAGCTGGAGGAACAGCATCTCATATTTCGCTTGGGAACCCTGCAGCCCAAGGGTATCAATGTGGACTTCACAAGTTTCAAAATCTCGCCTCCCCCGACCGCATCCCAAAACCAGCCCAGCTAGTCCCCGCCTCCCTAAACATTCCTCCCACCTCAAACCCCACCCCCATCTCCTACCCACTAACCTCATCCCGCCTCCTTGACCTGTCCGTCCTCCCTGGACCGACCTATCCCCTCCCTAACTCCCCACCTACACTCACCTTCACTGGCTCCAACCCCGCCTCTTTGACCTGTCTGTCTCCTCTCCACCTATCTTCTCCTTTATCCATCTTCTATCTGCCTCCCTCTCTCTCCCTATTTATTTCAGAATCCCTTCCCCTCCCCCATTTCTGAAGAAGGGTCTAGGCCCGAAACGTCAGCTTTCCTGCACCTCTGATGCTGCTTGGCCTGCTGTGTTCATCCAGCTCTACACCGTGTTACCTCAGAGTCTCCAGCATCAGCAGTTCCTACTATCTCTCAAAGGAAAAGAAGTGTTGCTTTGTCTCCATTGATGCTGCCAGACCTGCTAAATTTTTCAAGCAATTTCTGTTTTTGCTCCTGATTTCCAGCATCAGTAATTTATTAGGCTTTTTTTTCCACCAGGATGTTGCCTAAGCTGGAGCAATGCAGCCGTGAAGAGAGACTAGATAGGCTGGGTTATTTTCCTTCGAGCATAGTAAGGCTGAGGGGGATATCTGATTGAGTTGTGCAGAGTTGTAAGGTGTACAAACAGGGTACTTAGGGAGAAACTATTTCTTTCGTAGAGTGGTCAATAACCAGGGACACCGTTTTAAAGGAAGTAGTAGAAGGTTTAGAGGAAATTTGAAGAAACAATTTTTCATCCACAGTGTTTTAGGTATCTGCCAATCTCTGCCTGAAAGGGTGATAGAGACGGAACCCCTCGACAATTAAAAACTGTTTGGATGAGCACATAGCACCCAAGCCTATGAGGCAAGTGCTGGAAAAAGGGATTGAAATCGATGGATGTTTGACTGGCACCTATACGATAGGTCAAAAGACCTCTTTTTTTTATGCTGTAAAAAAAAATCACTGTGACTCCACGGGTTTGTTTGAGTGAGTCTGAGAAAGGAATTCTCAAAAGAAAATACTAGAGACCAAATTCAACCACAACAAAGAAACCGGAGGTTAAACTTGCTGTGAATCCAGGTGAGGTGAATAAGGTAGCTGAGAGATGTGAAAGGTTTTTGTCAAAAGGAAAGATAACCCATCTTCAAATAATGCAGCTAAACTCATAACGACATTTAAGAGACAAAGGAACTACTCAGACACTCTTGCAGGAGAAGGACGTAGTCTTCCCTCCAAAGAGCACAGTGAAAGGCAAAGTGTTAATAAATTGGATTAAGTGGAAAGTATATCCTGCTTTTGTTGCACAAGATGTGGCTAGAGCGCAACTTCTGTCTGGAGCAATGGTATAGTAAGAGTTATTACGAAATTACCCGTGATTGAAGCTGACTTACTTCTAAATAATTATTTGGCAAGAATAAAAGTTATAGCTTTGTGTATAATCACTGAAATCCCAAATGAGGTTAAAGAGACACAGTTACAGGAGCCCGTTCCAACTACTTTTCCATCCTGCAGTAATCGGAGCAGTAATTAAGCAAAGTCCGTCACCAGAAATCTGAATACCACAAACCAAGGTTACAGTAGCGGAACCTGTTTTCAAGGAAAAGCTGGTTCAAAAGAACAGTATAGTTAACATAACAGTATGGTGAACATATTTTAATTAGTTGAGGCTCAGAAAGCAAATTCAAAGATAAGCAAAATAATACAGGCAGCTCATACTGAAAGTGAGACTGAAGGAGTTCCCATAGTGTTGTTTTAAAAGCGGAGTTCTGATGACGCGAAAACATCCCCATCGACCTGCAGATGAGGAATGGAGTACTACCCAAATGTTGTAGGGAGGTATTGCGAGAAGCACATGAAATCCTATTGGTGCTATATGTAGGAATATAGAAAATTTGAGCATTGATTAACAGGCATTTTACCTAGCCAAGAGTGAATAAGGATGGTGTGAGTTCTGCAAAACATGTTAGGGAGTGAAAGAGCCTCAATACCTACTCTAGTTATGACTTTATTCTTAAGTCTTGTTGGGGTAGTTCTAAAACTAAATAGCATCACTCTACGTTGCCACAGCAAATGCATTATGTCAAAAGTTGATATTTCTATAGCTTTTGACATCAGTGGTACGTGTCAGTACCCCTTTTATAAATCAATCTTATAAAGAAATGAAGTACTATCAACCCTGCCAGTATAATTTTCCAAGTGAGGAATTGGCTATAAATCTGTTTTTGTTACTGCATTTTCTGTTACTGATGAAACCTGATACCAATGGCTTTTGTCCTTCGTAGCAGTCAGTCAGGCATATTGTCATCTTGGTGGTACCATTGGGATTTTATACACACTGTAGTGTCTTTGACTGTGACTGCTTGTTATAAAGTGCACCATAATTATCAGCATATGCTTCTCAATTAAGTCATGCTGCAAATTAACTACAATGGTTTTTAGACAGAGCCATCAGATAATGGTACAAAATTTATGCTGTAACTGATACTGAAGTATAAAAATAAGCATGGGACAGCCTTTATCTTTGGCCTTCACTGAGTTGGGTATTACCAGGTGGGGTTATTACTGTCAAGCTCAACGTTACTGACTAGTGAAAGGGGATTAAAAATAAAGTTCCTTGGCCCTGAAGTTGTCAATGGTTTTACTAACTTTATCCCCTGGCATGATAAGAAGTTTTCAGATCATTAAAGGAACTTAGTCAGCTTTTTAGCTAAAATCTGGGTCCTGCAATGAAATGTCCACCACTAATCCTGAGAAGTTCCCAAACTAGCAAAATCATTTCAAAACAGAATATCGACAGGAATATTACAGCAGAAACAACTTGCTGTAAGTTAACCAGTTAGAACTTTTGAAAATCCTGAATTAAGAATTATAGATTCTTGATATTGGTGTTTAAGTTTGTGAAGATTTAAGTATGAGACTGCAACCTTTTAGTACGTGCTAATGACTTCATTATAAGAATCAATTCTGGACTCACTGCCATATTGAGAAGTGTGCGATAACTAAACATAGTTATAACATAACAATTCTACTTTAAAGTTACATACAATTTTTAAATCTACCTTGAGGTAATTGAATATTCAAACAAGGACATGTGATATAGATTATACTCAATCTAGAATAATTTCTCAATAGTGTTATGTGTCTTTGTCTGAAACTTTAAGGGAAGTTTGGTTTCCAACTTGACTCTGGGGTCCCATAAAGTGGTTTATTTTTGTCTCCCTGGATGCACGTGTTGGCTGTTTCTTAAAAAAAAAAGTTCTGGGTCGACAGCGATTAGAAACAAGCTACTGTTGTGCTTAATTCAAATCTTTTGGCAACAAAGCGTTCTTGAGGATCATAATAGTCCTTTCTTGCGAGAGATCTACTTTCGAGTAAACAAACTCGCAGGTGCAAGATCAGGAATGGTAGCAAGATCATCTCATACCACCTCCCTCTGTCTACAATACTGAGAACTTGCCTTCAGCAAAATTTCATGTTCTCGTACTGCTTAGTTTCTGCTTTAAACTTAATGCCTTAATTGCTCGCTTGATTTTGGAATTTTCTTTTACAAAATTATCTGGTGACTCTTGTACTTGTGTAGGTAGTTGTGAAAACATAAAAGCTAACATAGACATGTAGTCACTCATTCAAAGTGTAAGTTTAAATTAACAGAATATCCACTTAATTTTACATTTTCATACTTCACTGATCTGTGAACTATTTTGCACTGATTTGCTGGATTTTGGAAACAAGAAGCAAGAATACCAAACTGGATTTGCAAGGGAAATGTAAGCACAAAGTCATATTGTTGCCATTCAAGAGAGTAGAACTCTCAGGCAAAATGTTGTTCTTGCCCACCATCACTCTTGATCTGTCATAATTCTGAAACAAGACATTGTTCCACAAGTCAATCTATCATAATATTTAATCTTCACTTTTGGATACCTTGTATCTTTGATGAAACACAGCAAATGGAGGTTTTTGAAGTGTAAAATTGTAATATTCCAATTTAGGTATGAACAGTGCTAGAAATATTCATAAATCTAGCAACATCATCTGTGTTTCTTTTTAAATAGGTACTGCCAAACTTGCTTGCTATTTCTAGCACTTTTTTCCTTTTATTTCATATTTCCAGTATCCACAGTATTCTGCTTTTTGTTTAAATACTCAGATGTTGATTTACCCACTAATGTAGTGTGCATATTTGTGTTGCAAGATTTTAATTTGAAAAAGCAAAATCAGTGATCACCTTGTTTCTTTCTTCCCCCCCCAAAGGAGCAGCGTTTACGTTATCTGAAACAACAAGAGAGACGTCAACAGCAGTCTATTTCAGAAAGTGAAAAATTACAAAAACTGAAAGAACGTATGGAAAGTCAGGAGGCAAAGCTGAAGAGGATACGAGCTATGCGAGGACAGGTGGACTACAGCAAAATTATCAATGGCAATCTTTGTGAGTATTCATTTCAAATATATTTTGATTTTCAAGCACTAGCAATGTGGTTGACTCTCAATTGCTCTCTGGGCAATTAGGGATGGGCAATGAATGCTGGCCTATTCAGCAATGCCCACATCCTGTGAATGAATTTTTTTAAAAATTAAGGCCTATCAGTAAAAATAGTTACTTTAATTTGTAGTGTATCAGGGCATGGACAATATCATATGCAATATGTGTTGATTATATCTGTGATAACTCTCTGGAAGAGTTCTCCATTTGTTCCTTTTCCCTGTGCCATTTATTCTCATTTTTCAAATATTTATCCACTTTGCTTTCTAGAGGAAATTGAGAATACTGCTCCACTTTGTTTCTGGCTGTGCATTTCACATCCTAACAAGTTTCTGCATTTTGTTTTGAAAAGCACTTAATTTCCTTCTTCATTCGATAATTGACAAAATTCAATTTATGATCTCTCAAGAATAACTTCTGACCAAGAGAGAGTTGTTTTTTCTCATATTTACCTTCGCAAAACTCAGCTTTATAAACAAAACATTTCGAGTCCAGTGACCCGTTGAAACTTTCTCTGTATGGATGCTGCCTGCTGCCAGATCTGTTGTGTTTTTCCAGCACTCTGTTTTTGTTCTAGATTACTAGCATCTGCAGTTCTTTGTATCTATTTTTAAACATCTGTATCAGACCTCTTTTTGTGTAAAACCCAATTTCCCTAGTGTAATCTTTAAAACTGCTGTCTCTTTAGCATCTTTTCAATGACCTTGACACCCTGTGAAGTGAAATTCCTAGAACTGAACACAGTATTCTAAATGTAATCCAATCGGTGCTTTGGTGCAGCTGCACCTGGATTATACTGTGTAGTTTTGGGCTCCTTACCTGAGGAAAGATACACCTGCCATAGACAGAGTTCAGCAAAGATACATCAGATTGATTCCAGTGATGCTGGAATTGTCCACTGAGGAGGTATGGTGGAAACTGAACCTATATTCTCTGGAGTTTAGAAGGAAAAAGAGGGCCTGTCACTAAGCCATAGAAAATTCTTATAGTGCTTTAGTGGATGTATGCAGAAAGAATGTTTCCCTTGGCTGCAGTTCTGCAACCAGGGAACACAGTCTTGGAATAAGGGTAAGTCCTTGAGGACTGAGAATCTCTTTCAGAGGATTGTGAATCTTTGGAATTCTTTACCCCAAAGGAGTCTGGATGTTCAATCATTAAATAGGTTCAGGACATAGATCTATAAATATTAAAAATCTCAAAGATTATAGGGATAGTGCAGGAAAATGGTGTTGAGATGGAAGATCAGGCTCAAGGAGCTGAAATGCCAACTTTTATATTGTATATTTTCTAAGATCCTTTGTAAGGCTTAGCATTACAACGGTCTTTTCATTTTGCATCCATTTGCTACAATTTAAATGCCTTTGTTCATTGTTGCAGCCTCATTAAATTGTTCTCCTATTTTAACAATTTTTGTTCTTGAAGCTGTAGTCTTCTGCTCCTCCTTTTTAAAGTCTTGCCATTTATTTTGTATTTCCCTCCTCATTCTTTCTATCAAAATATATGGTCTTGTGTAGCTCTACATGAAATTTCACCAAACATCTATTGGAATCTTAATTTTTCTGGTGGTTGTCTAGAGATTTTTATGCAAAGTATGAATTGCATTCCTTTTGTTGAAACACTCTTGTTTCCTCAAGCTATGTAGATTTTACAAATTAAGGGACTTTTTGTTCTGAACCATTAAGACTCTAGTATCTCTCTCAATTCCCTTCCCATGCTAAACTTGGGTACTGTTTAGAAGCATGTGGATGATACAAAACTTGGTAAGATAGTGGCACACTTCTGGAAAGCACAGACAGATTAATACAATAGGGAGACATGTGGACAAAGTAATTTAATATAGTTATGTATGTAGTGAATTTTGGGAGGAATGTTATGAAGGCGGCGAGTACAGGAGCCAAGGGACCAAGGATTATTATGATCTTGAATGAGACCAGCTATTTATTAAAAGAACGAAGCCACAAAGTTCCACAGTTTAAATGAAAGAATTTTACGGTAGAAAAATCAAAAAATGTGAATTATTTTGTTAAGTAATCAGTTTTGTTAAGGATAACGAAAATGTGTTGCATATAATTGCTTAAATTCCAAATGAAGCACAAGACTCAATTTTCCTCTCCCCTCCCCCACACGCCTCCCAACCCTCAGTTACATACTGATCAAAATTTGGATGTTTAACAGCTTGATCTGGGTACTGTTAATAACTTGTATTTGGAATAAGATTTCTTCAGCCTTTTGTATATATCCATCAAGGCTGTCCTTTCAAATCTCCTGCAAGTGTTCTAAAGTTCCAAACCTCCCAGCCCTAGCCCTAGCCCTACCCCCACACCCTGACACTTTTCTCATTCTAATGTTCTGTATTTAAAGAGTTTTGTATACAAAATCTCTCTCTCTCCCTCTCTCTGTCTCTCTCCTCTCTTCCTCTTTCAGCCTGGATATGCCAAAAATGCACGTCACTGTTACAGTCCTTTAGTTGACCAGTTCTAACCTTTTTTTTGTTAATACCCAGAATTTCAGCTGAATTCTGCTAAACAAGATGTTTCCTTCAACTTCTTCTAAACTCCCAAGCTAAGCTGCTTGAACCAAGAACTCGCCCCTCTACTTGTTGACCCTTTTTTTTTTGTTTTATATTGTTCATCTCCCAGGCAACCTGATCACATGAACTATTTGGTAGAGCTCAGCGATTTTTGCTAGAACTCAGTCCCTAGTCCTTAAAGGAACCATTACTCCACGTAAAATCGGATTTCTTACCCCCAAAAGCATATAGGGCCCTTACAGGATGCAGATTCACAGATTTGTAAAGGTGGCAGGGTAGTTTGCTGTAGCGGTAGGAAAGCACATCAAATTCTTTTGTAAATACAGCCATTAACCACAAAAGTCATGCTGAAACCTTTACAAATCTCTGGTTAGGTCTCAGCTAGAACATTATTTTCAGTTGAGTGCCCCACTTTTTAGGAATGAAAGTTGATCCCAACTATGCTGTAGCCATGATATTTGATGAATCTGAATCCTTCCCCACCACCCCCCATACTATCTTTCTAACTAGGCATTAAACCTGTCTTACTATTTGTATATTCACTAGCACATAGCATGCGGAGGCACTCTGACTTCACCACTCTTAATGTCTTACTTTACCTGCTATCTCGTAACTCATTTACAGCTTTTGAACCATAACCTCTGACCATTCACCTTCCCTCAGCAAAACATTATTGCACGAACTCTCTTCTATTCTTTATCCTGACATCCAGGTTATTACAAGCCATTTAGGACTTGTGGGCAAACGAAAGCACCCACCTTTACGAGTCAGCTATGTAATTCTTCTTGCTACTGTTGCCCTGCACAACTTACTACTTTGCTACCCGTTTGTCCATGAGACCACATCATTGTCTATGGTCACTCTCTTCTGAGTTGCCCTCTTTGTCATAAATTTTCAGCTCAGACCAATTCAGTAGTCTCCATATCCCTGGACTGAACCTGTCCTTTTTTCTCTATCTTTGTGGATGGACACGTGAAGTTTTGTCAGGTGCATTTGTGAATGATGTTGTAGAATTGACCATCTAATTTGAGAAGGACACTGCATGAACATCGACAGCCTCAGTTGGGTAGAACCCAGCATTACTGCAAAAGAAATTGCTGAAACATTTGCAATGATGCTAGAGTGTGAAGTGGTTCATCTACCTTAATCTATTCCTGAGATCCTCACCATCACTGAATCCAGCCTTTCATCAACTTGGTTCCCTTTTGTGATATCAAGAAATGACCAAGTGGGCTAGATATATGATAAAGAACGGTGGTCCCCCAAAGCAGCATGGCTACATTGTTGCAAGATGTGCTCCAGAATCAGCTGCATCTTGAGCCATGCTATTCCAACATAACTAGAACACTGACTTCTACTTAGCAACAAAAATTATATATCCTAACCATTAAAGGCAGCACAAATTCAGTCCTGATAATTACTGCTCTGTCAGCTACTCTGAATTATCAACAACTACAGTTGAGGCCAGTGACAGCACTATCAAACGGCATTTACACAGAACTAGCCTGGTCACCAGTATTCACTTTGGGTTTCACAGAGACCACACCTCATTGCAACTTTCTTTTATGATCCGCACTTAATCATAATGTCAAAATTTGAGTTGTTCATTGTCCATTCTCAAATGCTCGTGTGATGAAGCAGTCTCTGCCCACATGCAGCAAACCATGGCCACATTGCAGATTTGGCCTTGTAAGTAGGAGTAACAAATGAGTCCTACATTCACTATGCAGTGGAGTTTCGAGCAAGGGAGAATGTAGCCATCTCCTCTTGAAATTCACTGGCATTACCATCGTCAAAGCTTTCACATCTGAAGAGTCCCTGTTGACCAGAAACACACCTGGACCAGCTGCACCACTGACATTGAGTACAAATCAGAAGTTAATTATAATATGGCAATGACTTGACTAATTCCTGAAAAGAAATTTTTACAATGTAGATGACACTGGAGTGAGGTGGAATACTTTCTACTTGCCTGGATGTGTACATCTCCAACAATACTCGAGGCTAAACAAAAGGACAAAACAATCTGCTTGATCACCAACCACCCTAAATATTTACTCCTTCCACTATCAGGGATTATTATGTGTGCAACCAATGAAAATGCATTGCAGCCAGTTGCCAAAGCTACGTCAAAACTCAACCCTGTGAATCTCCAAAGACATGAGAGCGCTACCATTCTGAG